AAAGCATTGTCCATTATTTATTTGTCTTACACGCATAGATCCAGACATGTTGATATGCTAACATCAGAGTTTTACCCCTTTCCACCAGAGACAGTGGACTTGCAAAATGATATCATGAATGCCCTTTGGTTGCTTCCGAAGGTTAAACATGATGAGCTGAAAGCATTGCATGCATTAATGGATCCAAAAGCTGAAGTTCCTCTAAAGTGTTTCAGGAATGTGCTCAGGAAATACTTGATGGAATATTTGTTTGAATGTAGCGAAACAAGTATCACACAGGAAGCCTTGAGAACCATTGATTTTATAAACAGGAAGATGCACAGTCAGACTCTTGTGTTCTCTAAAGAGACAATACAAGAGGAGGTTGAAGCTGCATTGATCACGAGTCGTTGGCTTAAACAAATGATATCAAGCGTTTTTTCGGAACGAAGTGACAAACAATGTTTTGTGGGGTTTGGTAATGACAAAAACATTAATTCTTTTAATATGGTTGGAACCGACTATTTCATGGGTCTTGGTGACAATGAACATGAACATATGTACAGTTATTGCTCTAATTATGAAGCAGAAGCTACTGGGGAATCAGGACCAGGCGTTTCTAGATCATTCACCACTGGTAGCAACTCTTTTTTACTCACTGGGACTGGCAATCAAACTAGTGGTAATAGCTCAACGAAGCCTGAAGTTGAGCATGACAATGAAATTGACATAGAGAAACCTTGTATTGAGGAGTTAGAAAAGTTTACTCCTGAAAGGACTTCCCAAAACACAGGAAATATGGGAGTAAAGTCAGTCGAAGAAATCTGTGATGAGACAACATTGGTTGCTTATAAACTTATTGTCTCTATGCTAGATAAATTATTAAAAACAGAAGGCATGCATGCAGATATGTCAACACGAATTTACTTGAATGGTGGCTCATCAGCTTCTGCGGATTTGCAAGGTATGGAAGTTTATAATAAGACAGTTTCCTTCTTGTAAGGCATTCGTACTGAATGATGCTGCCCGGTTGTCCAATAAACATACCAGGTGCCAAAGATATGTTGAAAACTTCGAAAGAGCAGATGAGGTCTATTATTTTTGTACGAACTGTTGAGGAGCTAATACCTTCTTTGACAAAGAGGTATTGTCTTCTTTGCCTTAAGCAAAATAATACTGGATCTAAATAGTGAGGCACAAATGAATTTCTGATTTCTGCATTTGCTGACTAAGTTGGTTTGAGAGGGACTGGATTTTTAACTTCTCATTTTGATTCTTGCTAATACTGCAGTTGTATCAGAAGAGTGAAGAATTTGATGGAGAGCTGATATAGATTTCTTTCCCAAGATGATTCAAGTTTGTAAAAGGAGCATAGTTGCTGGCAGACACCAGAGATCATCTGGAGTCAATGACATCATGCACTCCTCGAGTCCAAAATTGGAATCAAATAAAAAATTCTCAACTGGAGAAACTATAATTTTTGTAAACCAGTTAATGCACTGGTGACTTGAATCTCACTCTCTCACTGTCTATTCATTTCTCTATCTATCTGTAAAGTTCAGTAGGTTTATGTACTGTTTTTGCTTTTGTTTGTTTGAATTTTTCTTTAGACATACATTTAAGTGTTCATAGAATTTATGCCTTTGTCAGGTTTGATGCATGATACGATGAACATAGTAATATCTTCTTCTGATCGAAAACATAGTGGCTTTGTTGCAGTAGCAATGAACTTTGAGTTTTATGGAATTCCGGTCATGCATTGCCTATATGGTACTGGAACAAATGTCCGAGGGTCTATCCACCCTTTTGCATACAATTGACTAGTACTAGATGACATGAACCGATGATTCTTTTGCTTGCTGTTCTTATTTGTTTCTAGCACCTAAACTTGGACATTTCCGGTACAAACTGCCAAATCTTCTGGACATCTTTCTTTGACCAACAGAATCTGTTATGTTGTATATTTCTCAGTAAATGTTTGTTACTTTGCCTTCAAATGGTTCTCTTCATTTGAACTTACATGGAGCAGGTACTGAATCCCTGATAATGTTTGCAAGATACAAGAGCTTCTTAAAGCTGCAGATCGACTTCTTACCGTGAACCTTTGAAGTTTAATACAGACTTAGGTTCCAGTGTCTCTCTTGTTCAATCACCAGCAATGGAGATACTAGGTATGCTTTTACTGCTTTATACCTGTTTATTATCATTGCATCATTATATCTTTGTTTGTGTTAGTTTTGGTTACTCAAGCTCGAGAACCAGAAGCGTTCTCCATACGGAAAGGACCTTCATTCAGCAACAGTCAACCACTTGTCAAACTTGAGAGGGTTCGTTGCTCTGCTGCAAGGTTCAGCAGAGATAGATCTAGGCTTGTGGTGACCAAAAGCAACTCTGCCATCAGTGTTCAAGATTGTTGTAGTTTCACTGCAGATCCTTTGAGATAGTTCCCACATGGAGACAAAGTGGCAGCAAGAAGGGATGGTATCTCCAGACATTCCATAAATCCACTACACCACTGGATAAGAATGTTGTGCTGTGGAAAGTCCACACTAGTGCATCTATGTATCAGCATTTCCAAAATAACATGTCTAAGTACACATGGTTTGGATCTGTGAGTCTCTTTCTTATGTAGATGGTATAATATGTGAAATGATTATTTGATATTAATTAAATTCTCAGGCCATCAATTATATTCAGCTCTGATGAATCTGTTGCCTGTCGAGTGGCAACAAATGAGATTCAGTTCCTTGACTGAAGGATTTTTCTAAAGGAACCATTTATAGGTTAAGACCACCTGTTGTTGCTGCAACTGAGCTGTCAAAGACTTCTGGGTCTTACATTGCAGCATTTGTACCAGAATCAAAGTTTGTTAATCCTAATCTATCTAGGCAATATTTATGCAAAAATTTGGTTCTGATAACATTTTGTCTTCTCGCTCAGGGTATTCCTACCAGTGTTCAAATCTTTTATTGTTATAAGGATGCACAATCTCAGCCCATTGCAAGATGGAGTTTCTTTTGCTGTTTCACGGTGGCATTCCATTGGAATAAGATTTCTTCTGGAGTTCTAGCAGTTGCTTAATCTGATGTTGATAAAAGCAACCAGAGTTGCTATGGTGAGTCTAAATCGAACTATTTAACAACTGATGGAAGCCATGAGGGACTTGTTTCTCTTTCTAAGTTTTCAGTTGGGTTTCTCAAATCTTATAATCCCTAGAATTAGCAAAGTCAGACTGGTGTGATTGATTGTAATAAAATGGCACTGTGCATGATGTTCAGTGGTGTTGTTCAGGTTTGGAGTTTGCATTTGTTTATGGATGTATCCTTCTTGTGCTTCTTGTGGCCTAGTTTTCTTCTGCACATTGGTCATTTGGGGTTTGTTTTTGCTTCTTGCTTCTGTTGTGATCCTTCACTAATCCCAGTTATGCCTGCAAGAGCAACAATATTTGATAGGAAATGCAATCCTTTGGTCGAGCTTGGTCAAGTTCCTCACAACACAATCAGATTCAACCTGGATGGAATATGTATCCTTTAGTTATCAATCCAGTTGGCTTGTTATTTGTGGTTATGTTGATAGAAGGCTCTTTTTTATTAGTTATCGAGCAAATCAGTAAGTGAGTTACTTTGCACATCGGCTCATTCTTATGTCCTTAACTTCTCTTTTTATCGCATTATATGTTTGGCTGGCTTTGGTAATTTATCTGGTGACATGGTATGTTAGAGGAATGGTGAATGCATTTATTCTGTTTGTTATATGACATCAGTTGCTTGTTGCATATGTATTTACACAAAGGCTTCTGTATATTGCTTGATTGGTTGATTCACAAAGTGGTGGTATTCCTTGGTAGCATTTCAACAGTAATTTTGTCTGTCCTTCTTAGGAATTCACAAATAAGTTTACCCTTAATTATTTTGCTATGATATGAGCTTGCATTAAGGTTTTTCTGTTGAGTCTAGTGAGGATGAATGCTACTAACTTGTTATATTTCAAGATAACTGACACATTAACTTGATGAATCTGGAACAAGAAAAAAAAAAATGCTTCAACCCAAGTTAATGTGTCAGTGTTTTTTTCCGTCGGATTAGGTCATGACAATTAATGTTAGAGCAGAGGGCTTAATTAAGAAAGAATTACCTGTTGATGGGCATATCCTATTTTGCCATGTCATTGATGCTTATGATTACTGTAGTGGGAGGTTTAGCTGAGAATAGTGCAAGAAAGAAGCATCATGTCATTGATGCTTGTATCACAGGTACCTGTGTGATACAAGAAAGAAACATCATGAGAATAGGGCAAACTTCTCCATGGTACACTATCAGGGGGTGACAGAAATCAATTGGATGGCAATTGAGACTGTAACTACAAATTTGCAAATGTCTTGTATGGATCGAATACTTCATTCAGGAAGAGGAAATCATTTTACCTTTGTAACCAGAGCTCTTTCACCAGCATCATCTTTGTGAGCAATTAGAGTGAGTTGCAAGAATATCCCTGTATCAAGAAAAATGAACTATGACATCTATGAACTGCTATTTCCCCCAGAGCTTCTTGGTTTTCTTCTACAGACTATTTAGCTTCACTGGTTTCATTTGTTTAAAGCTTCATGATTGATGACATCCTTGTGAGGCGAAATAAATCTGTGGTGCTTCCATAATCCCTCCTCCTCAACTTGGTGGCCTTCTACACTGCTAAAACAGACATACTAAACATGGATGCTGAGCCTGTCTCTAGGTATGAATTAATCTGCTGCTACCAGGGATGAATGTTTCCATATATCCAGATAAATTCTTAAACCGTGTTCATAGTCGAGTTAGGAGAGTTCTATGCAAGCATATATATTGAAATCAGCACCAGTAAGCTGTCTAAAAAATCATGCTCAAGAAAAGATTTAATGCACTGGAGCATGTTATGAGCCCAAGACTTTCACCTGCTGTTATGTTTATATTATGTTTATAAAACTGAAAGCAACAACTAATTATGTTTTCCAGATTCATATATATTACAAACTCATTCAGATCATCAAAAGCCACATCCATACAATTTGTTGATGAAAGTGAAACTAAGTGTATCATTGATTACGACGAATACAAAGTGTGGGTGAACTCCTTTAACAAGTTGAACAACAAGAATACTTGAAGGGATTGTCTCCATTTTCTTACATAAACTAAGATTCGGTACTCTCAAAATGGATGTAAACAGACAATAATTTCAATCACTTTCTTCCCCGTATCTCTCTTCCCCGTATCTCTCATAGCAAGTCCGCACTACAAACGCCAGCCACTTAGGATTGTGCCACAATGTTGGCGTTGCAACAATCTCACGTTCCAACCAATCCTTTCTCACCACTCCTTTCCGAGCAACACTCCGGTAGAACTTGCGCCATTTCTTCATAGCACGTGTCAAGCGGACACTGGCTTTAGCTCCAAAAAGATACTTGATATAGTCCCTGACAAGACGTGTTATTTCCTCGCCACTGATCATTAGGACATACTGCAATGCCAAACAGATATTATCAAGGGATTTGTTTGGTTTAGAAAGGTACAACATACAACGGATAATACAGAAATTAACCCTGATGACAGAATGATCCACCACAACTCCAACATGTAAGGCTAGACTTCTTGATGGAGGTAGATCCATTTAATTCTTTATAAATTCTGATCAATCATATTTTCTTTCGAGATAGGTACTAGAATTTCCATAAAGTGAAAGCACAGTCTTGAATCAACTTGTTATCGAGGCAGTTCTAATCAAGTAAAAATCAAGTGAAAGGCACACAATGGGTATAATCAAGAGAAGACCATTTAATCAAAGTTTAGTTACCAGGTGCCACACTTGATTGTCGATACCTAGTAATATGTTTCTTGTGGTGATATGTTTTGGGAAAAATAACTAAAAAAGATTAAAAAACCATGGACATGTCCATAATCTAGTGCGAGGCATATTCTTGAATAACTTTCCAAATTTATTATATCTTTACCAATCAGACAAAATAGTAAAGTAACTGGTGATAATAAAGGGAAAACAAACCTCCTTTCTATTTACCAGCTTCAAATCATGAAATCTAGAATAATAATTTTAACAAAAACGAGAAACCTACAATCCTTTAGGATCAATCAGGATGTGTCACAATTATAATGAATAATCAACACTAAAAGAAAAAGTGGAACTTATCAGAAATCAAAGGGACGAGCATAGAAATACTACACTAAAAGGAGCGTACTTGTATTCAAACTGTAATATGGGCTTTCTAAAGTTTTTTCTTTTGTTAAATATGAAAAAAGAACAAGAATATGATCAAACATTTTTAATTCAACAAATTGCAAGATACACAATCAGCACATGGTGTAACATACTCAGAAACAACACCAGGTAATTAGTTACGGAAGCTATTGTTTTCTACACTAGCAAAAATGATAAGAATTGCTTACCAGCACCACTACAACGATTACTGCCATAATCACCTGCAGGAGTTCATCAAATTGTCCTGCAAAACCTTCATCTTCTGGTCCACCAGAACCATCCCCACCACCGCCACCAGATATTCCATCACCTCCATTACCATCAAATTGCCTTTCCTGTGCCCGCTCTCTCAACATATCCTGCACTGTTAGCTCTCTCCTAAAAGTAAAACCTCCAACAGCTTTCTTTAGTGTTTCCCATGAAAAAGGCTGCTCCAGATTCAAAAACATATAAAGTATGCCAAAATTTAGGTAACAAAACAAGATATTTCCTACTAAATTAGATGCTAACTCATAGCTGATTGCCTACTCCAACAGCTGAAGTTTATACAAACACAACACCACTCCAATACATAGTAAAGAGTTTTTCACATGGTTTGTACTTTGTAAACATGTTAACTAAAATGATTATATCACACGGTGACTAAAGAAAGTGTAAATGATCAGTGGTTAAATATCCCCAACAATGTGAAAACAGAACATGTAGAAGGAAAAAAAGAAGAAAAGTTTCTTCGAGTATGCAGACAATAAGCAAGGATTGCTAGTTCTGCATGCTTCCTGTCAAGCTGAGCGAAGCACAGGGGTGCATGCTACATGATATGCTTACATATGAGATCGTCACATGCCCAGCTAAGGCCGAGGCCTTGCAGCACGGCCAGAATGGCATGAGGCACATACCTTGCCGCCAAAGTCTACACATGCTTACAACTTTAAAACAAAAATAATATTGCAACCATAAAAAGCCTACCTCGTTTTCACTCGTAGAGTCTCCCTTTTTCCCAGATGCATAAACTGGAGCACATCTTCCACTCTTTCGTGCATTATGAATCAATCTTGGGAACACCTTGTGTTGACAGAACTCAATAGATGGAGAGGCATATAAGTATGTAGCATTTGAGTATAAGGCCCGAGATAAGGAAGAAAATTTTCTTCCATGTCTTGCATCCGGCCGAATAAGGAGACCTCTATTAGGAGAGGAAAGAGATTGAACATGACTCATCCTAATCCAGAAACCAAAAGTCCAGTAATCTCGAATGAAGTCAGCAAATATCTGTAAAATTAACAAAAGTGGAATGGAGAGTTAAAGACATAACAACAACTTACATCAACCCATGAAAACTTATTAAAATCTGGGACAGTCTCAGCTTAACAAAAAAAAGCTGGTAAAAGCTAAAAAGAAGAAGCATAATGTAAGTGCAATAATTACATCGATTGTAAAATTAGAAAATTGGATATTCTTCTTAAATATCATGCAATCCACAGAATTTTATATGTGAATCTCCAAAAGGAAGTATTGTTAACAACAAAGAGCATGAAATGCAGGCTTACAGATCATAGATGTGTCACAGATAAAAGGTGATTATAATTGTTTCAAAAGGCATCACTCATGATAAGATGGACCAACATTCTTGAAAACATGATCAAGTAAAACAAAATTGATGGAACAAAATTTGGTTATTCCTTTGAAACCCAAAGACAAATCTCATATTTCTTACAATTAAACTAAACAAACCACGCAATAGAAAATGAAGTTAAACACCGAAAGACATACTAAATTATGTCTCACTGGAGTTGAGAATTGCTTCTTTGTTCGAAGGAAATACAAATAGCAAATGAAGGGGTTTTTTCGAAGGAAAATCTTGATATAGAAGAAAAGAAATATAAACAAGAAACCCTATATGCTACCAGCTCTCCTCAACAACAATCCAAGGAGCCATTGATCCGCGAAACGAGGCCCAAATAGGATCCCGTACTGACCCTTATCCACACCCCGCAAAGAACTCCAAGGTGCTGTGAATGACTAGACTACCTCATGCAGCGGATCACCGGAGACACCACGAGGAGGCGATAACACACCTTGGATCGGACAGGTGGCGGAGGCCGGTAGAGACAACGCCGAGTAGTGGCGGAGGACGGGCGGAGTCGCTGGGGTTCCCGATGTCGGGGCGGCGGACTTGCTCGAGTGAGCAGGAGATAGCGAGATAAAAGCTCGCTATTGTCACGTGTAATACACGTGATCAGAATAAGTTTTTGTCAGGAACAAGGTTATCAAACTCGCGATCCAGACCGTAGGATCGTGCGATCTTAGGGTCCGGATTAAGTCTTGCGAGTTGACCCGGCCTCGAAACGTAAATAGAATGAACTCAGGTTGACTCGCGATCCGACTCGGTACAATCGGTCGACTCAATGCGTTAATATAAGAGAGAAGAAGAATGAAAGAGAGAAGCGGAGGCCGCGTGCGAAGGCCAAGTGCCCGAGCGACGAACGAGCCCTAGCTTTTTCTTTGCTGCCGCTGCCAACATCGCCGGGGATCCACCTCCTCTCGGCCGCTACCGCAAGGCACCTTTGTCGCAGCACAAGTCGCCTCCTCTCGCCGGTATTCTCACTAATCGCTTCTCCTCCCGTCTCCTCCCTTTCCTTCCGTCTCTCGTCTCGTTTGCTAATGGTTGTTTATGGTTTCTCAGATTTCTGTCTTTTAGGGTTTAAGCGTTGGACATTGGCTACGTCAGGCGGTGGGTGACGCAAGAAGAACAAAGAGAGGAAGAAGGTGCATATCGTTTATAATGTTTTATTTTACTTTTTTCCTTGTAATTTATATTTTATATTTTGATTTTTTTCGTATGGCTGTCACTTTTTCCGCTAGATTTGAAGATGGATATTTCTTTTGAAGATGGGAAAAGGTTATGGTCTCTTATGTGGAACAAAGAAGAGCTGATCACAAAGAAAAGGAGGTTGGCCATAATACCTTCACGGAAACAATGGAGAAAAAAGAACTAGTTGGCCTTTGAATTTCCAAATTTCTAATTAACTAGAATTATGTTGTTTGGTTATACTTAAACAAGGTAGTATGAAAGATATATGTTGAACAAATTAATATGTTATTATTTCTTTTAGTGTTGTACCAAGGACATAAAATTATGCCCAATATGAGTAGTCTAAGAGTAAGTTTGGATTTGAGGTACTACGGCAAGCGCAGGATCCTCATCATACTATCTGATTCACTTGATGAAGCAATGTTTATAAGGAGTGTCGGTAGCTAACCTTATTTATCTTAGGAAGTGCATGTTTTTATCTTTTCTAAATGAAAGGTGCACATGATTTGTGAAAACCTGAAGTGTGATATTTTTCCTTATTATTACTGGCACAACACTTTGTGCAGATTTTTGATGGGATCACTGTTAGCTTCTACATCTGAGGGGAGCCAAAAGAAGTTTAAAAGACCCAAATTTTTGTCAGACTTGTAAGTGCATTAATTATGATTGCCCACAGGATTATCCCATTTTTTTTAACATTCTATCTTTTATTATGATACAAAACAATTAAATCCTGCTCCAAATGCATAAATTGCAAAGAAGTAAGCTAATAATGCAATAAACTGCTAATAACGAGACTTTTAATCCTCGGATCTCTTTAATCGAGGTGTCCATGTTTAATCAATTATCAATTTATAACTGAAAACTTGCTAGATTAAGCAAATGTTCTTTTATAGGAGGACTATTATCATATCCTTTCCTTTTCCAGTGATTTGTTTGTGGCAAGCTCTTTCAGTTAATTGTCCTAAAATGTTCCAACAAACAATTTGGTGATCTAGATTTATTCTTCAAGTGTACTATGGGAGCTAATAGTTAATAGCTAATGACCATGTATGGATGGATTATACTTTACAATTTTTTTAAATCTTTTGTTTTATATCTTTATTGAATTTTTATTTTTATCCTTGTTCTTTATGTCATTCTTTGTTCCTTGTTCATAACTTCGCATATATTTATTTTTGTGATCATTTTTCATCTTTTATTCCATTCGTATCATCCTTTATATTGTAGAATATCATTCAATATATTTTAAATATATTATTTATAAAACTCTCCTCCTTGATACAGTGAAAATAAAGGGTATAGCTAATTTTTATGCCGTTTTATTTTTTTAACTTTTGGATTTTAGTTTGGCTCAATCCTTCTTTATCCATATTCTTTTCCAAACTTCCAATCTCGTCGTTGATCATGCTTTGAAACTTATAGCAGATGATATCTTCTAGAAACCATTGGAAACTAGGTCAAATGATACATTGGTAGATTATGTTATATTTATTATGAATGTACAAGAAAATTATGTTATATTGATTATGAATGTACAATAACAACTTGTAGATGAAGAGTATGCAGATCCAAATTGTATTGACATGGTTATATAATTTTTCGACATAACATCAGCTTACTTGGTGTGTGTCCATAGAAGATAACTCTCGTATAGGAGAAAGATTAATTCTTTGAAGTTTGTCCTACAGGAGTTGCATCCTTGTAGGAAATCAAACCTTATCGATCCTTTGAACATAGTGCTCACTTCCTAGGTGCTACTTGGGAAGTATATTCTCCCATGTGCCACCTGGGGATTCCTGAGCATTGAAATTGACAGTTTATTCCTTCCATGCCATTTTTTCAGCCAATAATTGGATAAAATTCTATCACAAAACAGTAACTGGCCTATTGTGACACCATATGACAAAAACAACACTTTTTGTACACATGTTTATGGGCACATCAGAATTGTGTCTACCTAAAAACATTAACTTTGTGGACTCCAATATCCCAGACACAAGTATGCTCCTAACACAAACCATAACTTGTCCTAGCAATATGTGGACACCTTTGAATGGGTTCACATAACACGCAGCAGTATTTTTCTTTGTCGCAATATATTTTGCAACATGCCAATCAACACAACAGTCCTTGGGTCTTAAAAAGTAGTCATAGCAGGTGGCAGCAACAATGAAGACCACCATGGCTATTTGCAAGGGTGAATTATAGATTGCAGATGCAGTGAAACCATTGTTAGGCATCCATCATAATAGGTGGCTACTATTCTGGCCACTCTACAATGGGCTTATAGTACCCTATTAAGAAGCTTTTTAACCAACCAATGCAATTAACTCTTATTAAATTTCTAGATCTAAGTTAATCAATTCAATTTGAACCAGTTTAAATGGAATAGTTTCTTAATCCAAATATTTATTCTTGCTTTGCTTTACATCCCTGGCCTTGCTTTTACTATCATATTGTGGATGATGGATGATCATATCACTTCTGCAATTTTGACATTATATAAGTAATGGATATCTGGTTATATTTTGATATTATATATTATTACCACTTCACATGAAACATACATGCTTAGTTCTATTATCTATGTGAAAATTTGGTCTTTCAATATTTGATGTAGTAAATCACTTGATTTGTTTGACAATAGACTACGGTACCAGTGATCTGCTTTAGATTTATAGCACCTGCAATAATTTTTGGTAGTTGGCTATTCATCATGAATACCCTCTGCTGTTACATCTTGCCACAATATTTGTGATATTGCACTTCAGCATCTTTTTGTTTACCTCTAGCTTTCTCCTATCTAAGAGCTCTTTTGCTAAAAGCTACATGCATGCAGAGAATAATCTTTCTACTGTATTTTTTATTCCCACATAAGTTTTCATCTACATGAATATGGATATCTTGATCATTTCAACTTGCAATATATGTTTACTTAGTTTTGTATATTTTGCCATGATTATTGCATGGGTTATCAAAACTAATGGTCATTTGCTGCTGTTGGTGCAGGTACTTACTAGAGTCATATGTTCGGAATGATGAAGTAAGTTTCTATGTTAATCAGTTGATATGTTATAACCTTAATACTAGAGTATGAAAATTTCTTAATACTTCAAGTCAGTCATGATACCACAAGTCGAGTAGCACTTGCACATACAAATGGGAATTATTATCTGGAGCTAACAGGATCAAGCTTATTTTCTGTAAAAGGAAGGACAATTTGTTCCATTGCTAGGCAGTTGATATTAGATCTAAGAACTTGCAGGATTGGGATCATGTTCAGTGTTGGCTAGGGATTTTGCAATTTGGATTGGTCAGAATTGGTTAAACTGACATGACGTGCTAGTGTCGCATCATATTAGACCACTAATATCATGTCAATTGACATGATTTGCTGGAACAAATTATGCTAGATGACTAAAGAGGAAAGGAAAATTTTCTAAAAATATTACACGTGTTTATTTAGGGGTAATTTTTAGTGTATGCATTTACCTACCACCAACATCCTATCAGACAGAAGGGCTACAGATTTTTCTTTTTTTCCTTACCATGAACTCTTTTCAGTGCCTACTTCCATCAATCCCTTAGGTGGCATCTTCGGATTGGCTTGAAGGCTGCAAAGTTTTAACTTGTGGTGGAGATGAGTATGCTGAGGTGTATTGCTTTAGTAAATGAGATGGAATACATTTTAATATTTGGTGGAGATGAGTATGTTGAAGTGTATTGCTTTAGTAAATGGAGTACATACGATTATTGGAATTGGTTAGCATGAAAAAGAAGAGCAGCACAATGTTTGACGCTGCAGGCAGTGCAGAATTTAGGGAGGGTCTATGTTCACAGTGAGCAAAATTTTAAGGTAGTTTAGACATTTTGAAAGTTGAAACAAGATTTTAACTGCAGTATAAGGAAAGATGTGTGTATTTAATTTAGACGATAATGGAGAATTTGAAAAAAAAACAAGAAATAAAAATAATGGGTTAAGATATAATGGATCTTTAGTTATTGGAGGATTGTCCGTTGGCGAAAGCCGCAAAACTAATTGGTTGGAAACGATCCATATAATTGACGTCAAATAGTTCACAACAGAGGCTTGTTGCAAAATTATGCATTATCTTGCTGATCTGTTTATTTATTAGGCATAACTTCTTCAAAGTGTTCTTGAGCACAGCCACATGGTATTTTTTCCATTGATCCAACAACTGCTTAGTGAGGAAGTAGCCAGCTTGTCTTATTTTCTAAGACCTGCCAGACGACTAGGAACTTAATATTTTCTGTAGTGGTTTTCATTTAACATGTTTCTCTTATTTCTTTATCCATTGTAAAAGGAAGCCTGTCATTACTGCCTATACATAAGAGTGAATCGTCATCTGGAGCCCAAGACTTGACCAGACAAGTTCAACTCTACTATTTAGCAGAAAGCAGTCTTTTAGTCCTCCTTACAAACTTAAATCATTCATTGTGTAATTTGGGTTGAGCTAATACTAATCCTACCATTGAGCTATGATCTAGGCTCGTAAGTTTTTGACACGGTTTTATGTTGGTTATTAGTGGCCTAACACAATCCTCCATCTTTTTCATTTGAATTTGGCGTCAACATTGGTGGTGTTTTTAAAACTTGTAATAGTACCCAAAAAGAATAATTACATTGCAGATAATGAAACTAATCATTTATTTGGGAATAAAGGAATGCCACTAGAAACTACTGAGGCCCTTGAATTATGCTTTGTGGTTGTGCATAAATGCAGTACATGAAAAGTTTTAACACATCAGCTATCTAGGTTTCTTTTCAAGAATGTAGATAATATGGTGGATTTTGCTCTCCGTGGTATTAATTAATGACTTTTGGCAGTAATTATGTAGTGGTTTGGCTGATTTAGTATTAATTGCATGTATAATGAATGCATTTAGAAGACCAAATTCTCCCTGCATGAAGTTATTCTAATATCTTTCAAAAGTTTATGGTTTTGAGAAATATCAAACTTCCTTTAGTATATTGATCTTTGACAGCAAAACATTGATTTCCTGTCATTCTTTTAGACAATCACCAAGCTAGTCATTCGGCGTTACTATGATTATTCATTGCCAATTTCTGTTTGCTTAAAATGACTTATTTACCAGGTTACCAGTAAATCAGTCAGGATTACTGTTGAAAGAAGTTTTGCATGTTGTAGTTGTGAAAGCCACCATGTGGTTCAGGACTACTTGCAACTTTTTCAAACAAATGACGGGGAAAATAGGTGCAATAATGGTCTCCCATTGAAACAGTTGACACCGTCTTTGCATAACGCTCATATCTCTAGTCTTTGTCTTTCATCTGTTTCCAATATGTTGGTAGAGCTGGATGAAATGTCCTATCAGGAGCTTGCTGCAACAAGCAGAAAACTTCGAGGTGTATCACTGGTCCCTCAATTTCCACCTGCCCGGTGTACTGGAAAGAGGGATTTGATTATTGAACGGGTGAAGAAAAGGTTCAATAAATTGCTGTCAAATCTCAAGAATGGGGATGCATTGCCAGAGCCATTAGTTAAAGCATTGTCCATTATTTATTTATCTTACAAGCATAGATCTAGACATATTGATATGCTAACATCAGAGCTGTACCCCTTTCCACCAGAGACAGTTGGTTTGCACAATGATATCATAAATGCCCTTTGGTTGCTTCCGAAGGTTAAACACGATGAGCTTAAAGCTTTGCACACTTTACTGGATCCAAAAGTTGAAGTTCCTATAAAATGTTTCAGGAATGCACTAAGGAAATACTTGATAGAATATTTGTTCGAATGCAGTGAAACAAGTATCACACAGGAAGCATTGAAAACTATTGATTTTATAAACAGGAAGATGCAAAGTCAGACTCTTGTGTTCTCTAAAGAGACAATAGAAGAGGAGGTTGAAGCCGTAATGATCACAAGCCGTCAGCTTAAACAAATTACATCAAGGGTTTTTTCAGGACAGAGTGATGATGCAAGACAATGTTTCAAGGGGTTTGGTGATGACAAGAACATTAATTCTTTTAGTATTGTTGGAACTGACTATTTTATGAGTCTTGGTGACAATGAAAATGGGCAGATGTATAGTTCTTGCTCTAATTATGAAGCAGAAGCCAATGGGGATTCAGGACGAGGCGTCTCCACATCATTCACCACTAGTAGCAACTCTTTTTTACTCACTGGGACTGCCGATAAAATTAGTGGTAATAACACAAAGATGCCTGAAGTTGAGCATGATAATGATATTGATATAGAGAAACCTTGTATTGAGGAGTCAGAAAAGCTTACTCCTGAAAGGACTTCCCAAAACACAGGAAGCATGGGAAGAAAGTTGGTCCAAGAAATCTGTGATGAGACAGCATTGGTTGCTTATAAACTTATTGGTTCTATGCTAGATAAATTAATAAAAACAGAAGGCCTAGATGCAGATATGTCAACAAGAATTTACTTGAATGGTGGATCATTAGCTTCTGCAGATTTGCAAGGTATGGAAGTTTATCATAAGACAGTTTCCTTCTTGTAAGGCATTTGTACTGAATGAAGCTGCCATTGGTTGTCCAATAAACATACCAGGTGGCATGGATATTTTGAAAACTTCGAAGGAGCAGACAAGGTCTCGTATTTTTGTTCAAACTGTTGAGGAGCTAGTACCTTCTTTGACAAAGAGGTAACACCTTCTTCACCTTAAGCAAAATAATGCACAATCTAAATATTAAGGCACAAATGAATTTCTGATTTCTGCATATGCTGATTAAGTTGGCTTGGGAGGAACTGAATTTTTAGCTTCTTATTTTGTATCTTGCTAATGCTGCAGTTGTATTAGAAGAGTGAAGAATTTGATGGAGAGCTGATTTAGATTTCTTTCCCAAGGTGATTCAAGTTTATTAAAGGAGCATAGTGGCTGGCAGACACCAGAGATCATCTGGAGTCAATGACATCATGCACTCCTCGGAGTCCAAATTTTGGACTCAAATAAAAAATTCCCAACTGGAGAAACTATAATTTTTCTTAACCAGTTAATGCACTGGTGACTTGAATCTCACTCTCTCTTGGTATACTCATTTCTCTATCTATCTATAAAGTTCAGTAGGTTTATGTACTGTTTGTGCTTTTGTTGTTTTGAATTTTTCTTTAAACATTACATTAAATGTTCATATAATTTATGCCTTCAGAAGTTTATCTATAAGAAATGAATGTGTGAGAAGATAAAATTTACATTTGACATTTTAGATGGCATATACCAGAAGCTGGGATGAAGAACCCAAATCCTTGGTCTCATAGTAGAAAAGAAGGTTGAGAAAAAAAAGGATGGAATTGGAAAGGAGGAAAATTAGTGGGGTTATTAGGAAGTACACTAGCCATATCCAATGAGACCTTGTTCATATAACCCTCCCTTGAGAGAGAAAAATGTATTGCTTATATCATTAATTATCGAGTCAAAGTTTAAGTGTTGGATTTGATTACCTGTCGGGTCAACCAGCTGATTGATTTAGCCATATTGTCATATAAGATTAGTAGAAGTGAAAAACAGTGTTACTTTGGCCCAGGGCCAGAGTGATGAAGAGAGCAAAACACTTGTGGATCAACAATGAACATAAATGATCAAACATATGATCTCTTAGGCTATGTAGACTAATAAGGTTAGGTAAGCAGTACATAGTCATAAGTTTCAAAACAACTAAAGAAAATAATAAGAAGTTATTTCATGATACTGTTTTGTTTATAAAGTTTGTAAAATTCTCTTAAATATATCGTCATGCTCATCGTGTAGTGACAGATCCTCTGGTTTCATCAATTCAGATTAAATCTTTTATTTTTCTGTTCTTCAAAAACAATTTCATGTGATATACAACAGTACACAGTAAAAGATCTTTAACACAAATTAGGCTGGAACATGTAGCATACAAAAGTGAAGGAATATTGAAATGTCAAAGAAACAAACTCAGAATAACATTTTGTTTCATTGTGATGCTTAAATGTATTCTTGCCCATTCTTTTGCTGTCCAGAATGTATAGAAGAAAAACTGACACTTGTGATTGTCACCTCTATTCGGATTTAATCTTCCATATATTTTCCATTGTTCTTTTGCTGTTGCCTACTTCTACTTGTTAAAGTCTAAGTTGAATTATAATTTTAGATACATTGATACTTGGATGAATGGTTCTATCTTGACAGGGTCTCGACCTCTAAACTCAAGGGACTAATTGTTAATTCCCTATTTGTAATGACTCTCATAATCCTGCTTTATTCCATCTGGTGCGAAGCACAAATTGATCTTTCTGGAAGGACTAATAGGTCTGAGGGATGCAAAGGATAATTTTCTTCTCCAATCCCGTCTAATCATGTCCTTATATAACTTTGTCATGGAATATGATGGTCATCTTAGATCTGTTTTTAATACTGCAGACTTAGCAGGTCTCTTCTGGACTTCGCCACCCGTTCTACGGATTCTGGATGTGACGGATGACATTTGAAGAATCCCAAAGGCACTTCTCCGCATCTGCGTGCAGTTTCTTTTGTCATGTTTACATCCCAAGAGCTGCAGATTCTAATTCTAATGCTATTTTTGTTATTAACATGATACAATATTAATCAATATTTATTATTTTTTTCAGTTGAGACCAAATGGTGTGGATTGATAACAGTATTGAGATACCAATTCGGTAGATTATTGTAATCTTCTTTGATCATTTGATGCTTGTTTATTAAAACGCTATCAACCTTTTATTTATCATCAAAGATGGATGTATAACAATGTATGTACTTCTAGGGATTTAAAGAATGAATTTTTTAATGAATCATGGATGAGATTTAGTACGATTTTGTGCCCTAAAAAGCATCGAATAAAAAATAACATTGACTCGCTAATCTATATGAAACTAAATGTGATCTTATCATAATTCTATATAAAGTTATATTTACGACGATATATCAGATCCCATGGCACCGGTAAGATGTGCCCCCAGCACATTCAAAGTCGCAAACCGGCTCTCCTACTCGACCGTTATCGTGAACCGGACGGCCCAGGATCCGGGTCACGGCCGCAATTGGCGCGCACGTAACCAGAGACGGGCCCACCGTTTCGAAACCGAAACGACTTTGCCCTCCCCAACCGTCTTCGCCGCGGTGAGCTGCGTCGTCTCGACTGGAATCTTCCAATCACGGAACGAGTAATCGAGCCGAGCATGTCATGGATCGGTTCGGAAAGAACTACCCACCGCACGGGATCGTCGTGTGCTCTCACATTTCGGCGGCGTCCGGAAGAGCTTTTTCGGATGAAAAGGAGGGGAAAAGAGAGGGGGGCATTGGCTCTGCGGGATTTTAGGGTACTGGTCTCCGCAAAACCCTCCGCGCTTCAGCTTCTGTTCTCGATCTTTTGATCCCAATTCTTTCTTGCGCCTCCCGAAGGAAAAATAACGTTTTTTTGTTCGAATTTCCTTCGTTTTCTTTCTTTCCGTTTCGAGGTGGAGGTTCCGCTTCCAGATTCTTGTTTTAATCTAACAGTCTGGTTCTTGGTTTACCCTGGAGTGGTGGCACCTTTTGTTCCAAATCTTGTTCTTGGAAGCAGTCGGCCCTTTAAGTTTCCTTCTCCGGCCATATTCGGGTTCGTCGATTGTTTGGATACAAGTTGAATGCTGTCGAGGAGGATACTGTGGATTGGAGCTCGTTGTGAATTCTAGAGAAAAGATTGGATTCTTTCGTAGCTTTTGAAAATTTGGGACATCATCAGGTTGAATGCAAGTTAATATTGGAACGCATTGGAAGTGAAGATTGAAATCGGAGCCTAATACAAGGCTGAAACGTCGATTTTTGGGTGATGCACTTACGCCATCAATCAACTGATTCAGCAATAAGAAACGAGGAGTGCGTGCTTTAGTGGTTCTTATGGGCTGCATCTGCTCCAAAGGTATCAGCCGGGATGGCGAGACCCACCGAATAAAGTCCTTGAAGCGGTTCCTCACACTCTCGAAGAAAGGGGTGGTTGTGGCAGCTAGAGTCGATGTCGCTAGTAACGGAAACCCTATGGTTGCGACACAAGATAATGCGGTGACCAATTCCCTGCCTCCACTGGTTGGTGAACGTGGGAAGACCGCTGCAGGTGGCGGGCTCCAGAGATGGGTTACCCTTAATGCTGGGGCAAATAGAGATAGTTCTGAAGCTGTGGGTGTGCCAAATGAGGTGGAAGGCAGCTTAGAAATTGTTGATGTGCCAAATGGGTTCTCCGGAGAACATGTTGCTGCAGGCTGGCCTTCTTGGCTAACTGCTGTTGCTGCAGAAGCGATAGATGGGTGGATACCTCGGAAAGCTAGTTCCTTTGAGAAACTAGATAAGGTTGGAAAATACTTGCCTTCATTTTCCTCAGTTATTGATGTTTTAATTTTTTTCTGCTTCATTGTCTGTTGGATTTATCGCTGCTTTGTAATCTGACAGAGTCATGTTTACATGCCTTGCTTACAATTAGAGTATGATACAACTAAAAAGATCTCTTTGGTCACCTAATAGCATCACAATAGTACTAATATGCAAGTGCAGTAAAGGATGGTTCCAACTTGCTTAGTTGTTGCAGGGGGAATAATGAGAAACTGAGATCCATTAACTAAAAGTTGTTTGATATCGTAACCACTTTCTTTTCTACATCGGTCCTTTTTATGTAGACCATCCAAGGACTGGTTTCTAATGCCAAAAGATTGTCGTTTTCGTGATAAAGACGAGCAGATTACACTCTGCCAGCCGAATGAAGAATTCGACCTTCCCTAAATAATAGGCCCATATAGGTAGTCTAGCACCTGATGAAACTAAGATAAATATGGTTTATGATTTTCTTAGTTCTTACTATAATCCTCTTTTGCTTCAGCCATGCCTACTATCAAGCCACTTCAACAAATGAGCACAGAATGAAGATCAGGATGCAAATGTTATGTAACTTCAATTTTTAACACTTCATGGAATGAAATCATTGATGTCCATGGTTTACACATCGATGTTATTGATTGTTGATGTAACTGTTTTACTAGTTATTTCGCTTGGAAATAAAGGCGTATATGCATCATGATCAACAAGATAGTCAAAATGATTGTTCATATCTAATTGTTTTATACTTTTATCCTCAATTAATGGCAAATATATGTTTTTACAGTATTAATTTCAGGCTTGCTAAATTCTCTGAGATAAGATTTTATTTGGTCCTTTGATATATCCACCAGTTTTCCATCTTTGCTAAATATATCACATTTGCAGATTGGACAAGGGACCTATAGTAATGTGTATAGAGCCCGTGATCTTGAAAGTGGTAAAATTGTTGCACTTAAGAAAGTGCGATTTGTTAATATGGATCCTGAAAGTGTCCGCTTTATGGCTAGAGAAATTCATATTTTGCGTCGGCTTGATCACCCAAATGTTATAAAGCTTGAAGGTATAGTTACATCACGAATGTCATGCAACCTGTATCTTGTTTTCGAGTACATGGAGCATGATCTCGCTGGACTTGCTGCAAGGCCTGGTCCCAAGTTTACCGAACCGCAGGTTTCTCTTATACATTGTCAATTTCATGTAGATTTTCTGAAAAATCGATATATTTGACCATGTTCATATGGATTTCAGGTGAAGTGTTATATGCAGCAGCTACTTGAAGGGCTTGCCCACTGCCATAGTCGAGGGATTCTGCATCGGGATATTAAGGGCTCAAACCTTTTGATTGACAACAATGGCATTCTTAAGATAGCAGATTTTGGCCTAGCAACACTTTTCAATCCTTATCAGAAACAGCCATTGACAAGCCGAGTGGTAACATTGTGGTATCGGCCTCCTGAGCTTTTACTTGGTGCTACAGAGTATGGTGTTGCTGTTGATTTGTGGAGTTCTGGTTGCATACTTGCAGAGTTGCTTGCAGGGAAGCCCATCATGCCTGGAAGAACTGAGGTATAACTGATCCGCTCAAGTACTCAAATAGATCTGGTTCAGGGAAATGAACCAAATGACTTCTAAATTCTAATAATGTGAATGTGGAAGGTTTCCATTTGGTGTGACGATCCACTTCAAACAGATCATTTATGGACCAGCCACTAAAAATATTTTACTGAAAGTTGAAATTAACATTCCATGTTTTGCATAATTGTCCATGTAATACATGATCACAGGTAAATTGCCATTTTGATGCAAAAAAAAGACTAAGACTTTCTGAAGTTCAACAATTTGGAAATATATAGATGTCACGAATGGGCTACACCTTCAATGCCATTGTTGCTGATATCATAATCTTTTCTTTGCTCCTTTTATTTTCTTAAAGATATTTGCTGCCTCAACCATTCTAGAGGACCACTTTGCACTGGAAACTTTATATCGGAAATAGTGATTAAGATCTTGGTCCAAACTGATGTCTATTGGCAACTGAACTGGCATGATCATACCATACACTCTACAGACCAACACACACACTAACCGAGCACTACACACCTTGATAAAGGACTGGTTGCAGAGGATGGGGGAGCAGAATGGAAGAAGTGGTGGTGGAGGGTGGGAGAGCAGACTGGAAATGGTGGTGGCATGAGGATGGGAGAACAGCATCGATGAAAGAGGGTTGGCGAGGTTGACAGAGTTGTGGTGCAAAGGGAGGAAGAAATCAGAAAGATAAGGTTTGAGAAGAGGGAAAGAAAGGAGGTCCAAGCCCTTTATGGAATGGTAAGCTTACTGTTTGGTAAGATTGTTCATTGGTAATCTTATTCTGGTAAACACAGTGTGGTAAGTATGCCAGGTGATAAGTATACCGAGTGGTTACCATGATGGGATTGCTTAATATTGGTTTGTACTGACTGGTAGAATGTCTTTAACAATTATCTGGTTGAAATCACGCATTTGGATACATAATTATCTCAAGTGACAGAAACATCATTTCTCTTAAGAATGGGTTTAAAGATTTAGGAAATTTCCTGTTTAAATTTTTTTAATAAGTTAGATCTGGATTCCTAAAATTCATGTTTGTTATTTACAAATCAAATTATCTATTTTCTGGAATTCTTCTATTCTTGTTATGGTTCTCAAATTGGTACATAATCTTGACAGTTGCTAACTTTAATAACTTGATTTCTTATCTGACGTATGGATATAAAAACCTCTGTCTAGGTGGAACAACTACACAAGATTTTTAAGCTCTGTGGATCACCATCAGATGAATACTGGAAAAAATCAAAATTGCCTCATGCAACCATTTTTAAACCTCAGCACCAATATAGGCGCTGTGTTGCAGAGACATTTGAAGATTTTCCTTCAGTGGCTTTAACTCTGTTAGATTCCCTTCTTGCAGTCGAACCAGCAAACCGTGGAACTGCAGCTTCAGCCCTTTCAAGTGCAGTAAGTTTTGATTTCACTGCTATGACATTTCACATAAGGTGTTATCTTTAACTCTTGTTGGGACATTTCCGGGATCAAACTTGTGCTGCTTCTGTTATTTAATGAAGAATTTGTCTTCTGATAAATGTTATAATAGGATCCGAGACAGTTCTTTTTCTTCTTTTAGATAAATTGAGAGATAATAATTGTTCATCATACATCTAGTACTACCAGTATCTCATATGCTGCTGTTAATTTTCTTATTTTCTCAATCTGTATTACAAATTGATTGAGTAGAGTATAATTTGTCCAGTATATTTACACTATTTCCTTTGCCTACAAAGTCGTTCTCTTTGAAGTATCCAAATATTAATGAACTCTCTGAAGATCGTCATTGGAGTCTTTTCCATACACATGCAAAATGTGTTACAGCTACCAGTTACTTCTTATTTTCAGTTAAATATGCTTCTAATATGCTATTTGATGATCTAGTGACCACTAAACTCTACTACTTTTCAGTTCTTTAAAACCAAACCATTTGCCTGCAACCCTTCAAGTTTGCCTAAATATCCACCAAGCAAGGAGTATGATGCTAAACTTCGGGATGAGGAAATTAGAAGGTATTTTGATTTAAAATCTGACATGAAACATTTTACGTATTGCCTCATTCTCCTCAAAGGATAAAGCAACTTGTGGAAGATACATACAGGATATTTGTTGGACTATGTTGTTCCACTGGATAATGACATCATTCATTTTCTGCTTTATGGCCTTTTACAGGCAAAGAGCAGAAGCTACCAAAAAAAGGTCAGAGTCTGCAAGACCAGGAAGACGAGAAATTAAAACAAAGCCAATGCCCGACGCAAATGTCAAGCAACAGGTAGATTTCATGCACTTTTGTCAATGCTTTTATTAGAACGTATAATCTCTCGTTTGAAGCTGCTCACAAACTATGCAAAAAAGCAAGAGAGCATCTGTATGTGACATTTAACAGAAACCTTTGATGATTTTGAAGCTGCTCACAAACTAAAAGAACATAGTCTAAAAGAACGTATAATCTAACGTTTGCAGCTGCTCACAAACTATGCAAAAAAGCAAGAGAGCACCATATCCTTGGTGATTTTGAAGGTTAGAAATGTATTATTTGTTATAGGTAGAAAGCCAACTCTGCTCATAGTAATCAATTATCCCATTGTAATCATGTGACAAACTGTTTTCTACTTTCTCATTGGCCAGTAACTTCATGAATATATGATATAGGAACAACCAAGCATAACTGTTTAAGAATGATCGTGATGGCATACATCATCATTTCAAGTTTCTCTCTAGCTTTATCTTTTTGTTGCAAATGCTCTTTAGTATGGTGAAAACCAAATATGCATCTACCTTTTTGTGTTCTTTTAGACTAAGAAACATCTTTGAATTGTGTCTACTCAGTTACTCCAGAGTTATGTCTACATAGTAACCCTTCATCATTCAAGCATAGAGTAGGGTTATAGTCCTTGACAAAGTCTGGCAGAGACCAACATACTGATCTATCCAAAATTTTCATGGCAATGCCAAGAAAATATGTATTGGAGAAACATCTGGAAACAATTAACCAAAAGCATATCGGCATACTCTGCTTTACAGTAAATAAAAGTTGGATAAGTTCTTATCAAATCAGTGTTTACTAGACAAAAAAAGCTTCCGATTAGAGTTTTTGAGATTGTGTTCTTTCCAATGTAATGCAATACTTGAGTGTGCTCAACGTAACATAATGGAGTACATGTGCTTATGCAGAAATGCATTGATTAAACCATGGATCCCTATAGAGAATGTAATTCTTGTGTCAATTAACTCAGCTCTTCTATTTATCCTATTGGTTTAATTTATCCATTACTGCTGTTACAGAAGAGAAAACCACAGGCAAATCCCAAAACCAGCAGTGAGAAATACAATGCACAATATGATGAAAGTGGGTCTGGGTTTTCAATTGACCCTCCTGTGGGAACAGCACAAAATGGCTTTTATCATCCAGGAATGCACGCTGGTGGATTTGGATCCTCCTTGACCAAGGAAGAGAATCAGGAAGAGCCCCAGGTTCCTGGACGTTCATATAGTTCCATGGGAGTGGCAAATGGCCCTCGGTTGCAGGCACAGAGATCTTATATGCCTTTATCAGGAGCTGCCTTCTTCCCAGGTTCAGTGGCAGCAAGAAGCACTGCAAGCTCAAGATACAATCGGCTTGATGTGGCTGAGCCATCTGACAAGCATATACTTGACAGACCTGCCTCCACCCATAAGAAAGATGACAGAACAGCGAGCAAGGTATTCATATTCATATGTTCTTCTGTGACACCTGAACAAGAATTGCACCATTCATAGTTGTTAAAGTAGTTGCATGTGGCACTAAACTTCAGCATGCTTTCATAGTGAATTTTGTGAATCAAGTCACATCATCCTGTGCAAGCCTAGGGATAATACTATAGGAGGCAATAGAAATGTGAAAGCCTTTGAACCACATGTTTAAATACTTGACCGAATAGAAGATACATGCAATTACAACAGTTTCTAAAACATGATTGGGGTTATATTAATATGTTTCTATATATATTGGCACTTCTTTTGATTTTTTTTATTTGACAAATTTATGTAACCACATCTCTGCTTGAGATTTTTCTTAGTGTACTCCACCAATGAGCATGTTAGGGCTTAAAGCTTTAAAGATAGCAATAATAGAATATTCTGCTGCTAAGTTGAGTTATATCACTAAGTGCTTGCACGCTTTTACAAATTTCAGGGTTATGGTCCTAGGAACAAAAAAATCCACTATTCTGGACTATTGATGCCCACAGGAGGAAATGTCGAAGATATGCTCAAAGAACATGAGCGGCAGATCCAACAGGTAGTCCGCAAAGCACGCCTTGATAAAGTCAAGACCAAGAAAAATTTTTAAGAAGGATGACTAGTGTCCTCCCATGGCAAAAGATGGTTTTGAGTCATGTATACATCGTATGAATGAATATAAAGGGAGGTAACATGCTCAAGGAGTAGTACAAACATAATTTTGTGAATCATTAGATGCGACAAAAAACATTTGGGTCATTAATTTGGTCAGTAGTGCAACATCGAAGAAGCTTTTGGCGGTGCAGAGCTGGTTACTGTTTGCAGTTGGAAGTGTTTCCACGTTGCTTGCAGACTAAATCTCTAACTACCTGTCATATAATCTTTCTGGAACCTCTTGGTTCGTTTTGCCAAACGTCATCTTGAATAGTTCAAGGATGTCAAGAGCTATGTTGCTAATTCGGTGATGTGTGCACATGATCCTCACTGCCGGGTTTCTTGAAATCTGAAAAGGAAAGTTGGCCTCCCTTGAATGGAAAATTATATGTAAATCATCCTCTCAAGATTCACTGTATATGAAGATAGAGTTGCTCTGTAAATTTTTCTGATAAAAGCTACTTAGAAGGTTTCCTTGTCATCTTTTTATGTATTTTCTGGTGAGATCACTGACATCCATCCGGCACAAGATCTTCTCGTTTCAAATCTTTTACTATCGTCACACAATTCTTAACACATGGAACTGAAGGTTTTTTGGCTGAAGAGCAAGCTTGCATCAAGAGAATATCTGTTCTGTAGCAGCAGGAATTAAGCTTGGTTTCCACTATATTCCAAGACGGTTTCCAACTTTATTCGAGCTTCGTCAGTACTGTTAATGTTTCAGGTATTTCATCCTTTACTCTGTTGCTTAGGTTAATCTCTACTCTTATTTGATGTTTCATTTTACAATCATTTCATATTGTTCAATTAAGTATCTGGTGCTCGAGCAATCACGTGTATCTGTTGCATAAGTAGAAATACATGTTGGATTAGAAATTGAGAACAAGGACTTACTGATTTAGCTGCAATAAATTGAGTAGTCCCACAACAGCAACTTCTCATAGCTGCACTTTTACTATTTTCTTTTCTTTATGATGTATTTACTTCCCAAATGTACCAACAGGATAGGCCACCATGATTCACATAAGAATCATGTTGGCCATGGTACCTTCCACCATGTTCTTCTTAGTTCAAAAAATAGGAATAATTAGGAGACTATTTCGAACATTTCTAGTCAAAAACTACTTAAACCATTCCTTGCTTGAAGTCTCATCCATTCTTACTACAGCTTAAGACTCAAGCAATGACTTAAATGAGCAAAAAGATGAGTTGTTGTAGAATGGTGTAAAGTCAAAATGACTATTATACTGCTTCAATTATGATTCCACTTCTATGTTTGTTTCTTCAGCAAGTGTGCACCAACCCACAGGGGGGGTTGGTCACCCATCTGTATCAGCCCCCCTCATTTCTTTTGCTGCTTCTTTAAGGATCAGCATTCACAAAGGCAGCCAATTTGTTTTTCTTCTTTCTCACAAGCCACCCTCTCACTCTCAATATAACTTGATGCAGGACCAAGTCTCGTTGCCACACTCTCTCCATTTGCCAGCACCATGAAGGCCAAGGGTCCGAACACCATCAACCCAAAGCTGCTTCTTCTCGGGTTCTTGCTTGCATTTCTTCTCCTTTACCTGCTCGCGTCTGGTTACTCATCCTCACCAACTCCAGAGACCACCTCAGTGGAAGCATCGGCAGCAACTCGAGTACCTGCATGCACAAAGATCCCACCCTCGCTTGGAGAAACCATCATCCACTACGCCACCTCAAACATCACTCCCCAGCAAACCCTGCGAGAGATCTCCGTCACAGCTAAAGTTTTGGAGCGGAAGTCTCCCTGCAACTTCCTTGTCTTCGGCCTCGGCCATGACAGCCTCATGTGGAGCGCACTGAACCACGGCGGGCGCACCGTCTTCCTCGAAGAAGACAAGAAATGGATCGAGAGTGTCACACAGAAGTTCCCGACGTTGGAGGCGTACCACGTGAGTTATGACACGAAGGTGAGCCAGGCCGACGAGCTGTTGGAGTCAGGGAAGTCGACAGGCTGCATGGTGTTGGAAGACACCAAGTTTTCCAGGTGCCCGTTGGCACTGACCAAGTTGCCGGATGTGTTCTATGAGGTGGACTGGGACTTGATCATGGTGGATGCACCCACCGGCTACTTCCCACAGGCGCCGGGGAGGATGGGCGCAATCTACACGGCGGGCATGGCAGCTCGAGGGAGGAGGAGGGAGGGGGATACCGATGTTTTCGTGCATGATGTGGATAGAGCGGTGGAGGATAAGTTCTCAAAGACCTTCCTGTGTCAGGGTTACTTGAAAGAAGAGGAGGGAAGGATAAGGCACTTCACCATCCCCAGCCACAGAGCTAATCCAGAGATCTCATTCTGTCCTTCATAAGGCGGTTGAGAAAAGTGTCAGCAGTAGTTAAAAGGTGGTCATACTATTATTATTCGTTGTCATCTTTTGGGAACACTTTTGAGTTATTTTTTGACTTTAATAGTTGTGATCTTTATGGACCTAATAATTCTGCTGTACTCGTTGAACGTAGATCGATCTATGTATCGTTCATATTCTCCGATAGTGTTTCTGATAAAATCAATCATTGATGAAGTGGTTGCTTGCTCTGTTTCTCTTCACATTGATGGATTATCTTTTAATGTTTCCACAGGGCTTACAACTGAGATGATGGATTGCAAACAGTTGAGTCATCTTTGTGCTGTGGCCGCCGGGCAACCTCTAGGCCTATCATTCACGATCGTCAATGGTCAGGAGACGACCCCGTTATCGAAACACGACCATGCAATTGTGAGATAGACCATTATGCTGGGATGACCCACCCCTGAGAGGGAACCATGAAGCCAAGAAGATGATCTTAGGATCGAAATAAACACTAAGATGGGAGGGGATGAATTAGTACTTTTGTAAAAATAATGATTTTTCTCGAAAAGATGCTTAACTTGAAAACGTTCGTAGAATACAATGAGCAATAAAATCAATGCTCCCTCCTCCACCATGTACCCACAAGCAAAATCTAGGGATGCTCAACAACTCAAGAAGCAGTTGTAGATGTTGTTGGAGCTTCAGATTTCTTTTGGTGGACATGTAATAAGAAACATGAAAGAAGAAGCAACTCCATGAACTTGACAAATGGTATCACTATGACCGATTAGAAGCCATGGATGGATGATGGCTTGCGGTGAGTGATCTACTTGCAAATCTTGAAATCATCACTCTCTCCTCAACTAGCATTCCTCCATTAGCAGTCAAAGCTCAACTACCGGAAACAAGGATGATGAGCGTATGCAGATTAACAGGTCACCAACTACCAGTTCATTAGTAGCAGCCAAAACAAAATCCGTCATGTTTGTAGCCAAAAACACAAATGTTCCTTTCCCGATGGCAACATTATCATCGACTGATTTATTTCATTTATTAATTTTGTAATCGATAATCATAGAAATTGATGTGATGAGAAAGAATATTTATCTGATAACGTAAACGGGACATTTGTTTTTATTTTGGGTGCTCTTTTTATTTATTCGAATGAAAATACCCTTATATTTTTACTAAAACGACTTGAGCATATAAGTTATTCAAAAAAATCTTTAATTTTGATAATTAAATATCATAAAATTTTAAAAAAAATAAAAAATAATTTTTTTAAAAAAAATTATGATAATTAATTATCAAAATTAAGAATTTTTTTAATAGATCAAGGTATTTTTATTTAAATAAAAAAAATCTTTATATAAAAATAAATATGAGGGTGTTATTGGTAAAAAAAATATATTATGAAAGTGAAACAAATAATCTCATTTGCTATAACAACTGCATTGATAGAAAACATACATCACGTATTGAATCGATACGAAAATGATAGACAAAAAGATAATTTCAATATTTCTTTCATTTCTAACAAGTGGGATATAAAAATTACCTTGTTTTAGATAAAATCATTAGAAACAGAAGAGATATTAAAAATATATATTTGTTCATTATTTTCACGTCGATTTAACATATATTGTCATATATTGTAATTTTCATCAATGCATCTAATGACGTTAGAATAAATAAAATTATTTATTTTATTTTTATAATTATAAAGATTCTAATATAATTTTTTTAAGTATAAGGATTATGATGCTGTGAAAGGATTGAAAGAGGGAGTCCATAAACAAATGAACGGCTTTATTTGCAACAAGTTTGATCCATATGTGGAGTGGCATTCTTATAGTTCAAACACATTGCGCGCGAATCTCTTCATCTCCTCCTTCTCCAACGCCGCCCAAACGTTGATGCCACTCCCCTCCCCCTCCTTGCTGCCATCAGCAAGCAGCAGCACGAACTCATGCATGCCGCTCACCACCGGGCCGCCGTAGACAGGCTTCCGGCACCCGAAGTCCAGCTCATGGAATGGCAGCTTCCACCAAGCCGACACGAAGAAGTTCCTCTCGAGCACCGACGGCGCCCCTCTGTTCACCTAAAGCCAGTCCACAGCCGACCTCACGTACTCATCCGTCACCCTTCCGATGGCCTCCCTCACCCTCTTCACCGCGAAGCAGAGCGGCCGCTCGCCTAGCTCCGCCGCCCCGGCGCTCGCCGAGGCTGTGATCACCGCGTTGCCGGTGAACCCACGAGGCAGCGGAAGTGACATCTTGGTCCTGACGTCCACCGCGAACAGCACGGAGGAGATCTCCAGCGGGTCGTCGAACACCGCCTTCGTTCTCGCTCTCCACAGGTGAGCTACCACCGCCTCGAAGCTGGAGTAGCACTCGGTCATGGCCTTTCGCTTGAGGCCATCGATCATGTCAGGGGCGAGAGACAGCACCCTGTAGTCGTGGTTCTTGGAGACCTGTAACAGAGCGGTGGATGGAGAGGGCTGCTCGGGGGAGGTGAAGCAGGTGTCATCCCTCCGCTTCGTGTACTCCGTGTGGTGGAAGCGTCTCTGAGGTGGATATCTTGCCCTGATGCATGATCTATCCACATGAAGCTCGAGAGTCTTCAGGCCATCACCCCTGCAAATGGCAGCAAGATTCTCAAACATTTCGGCTGCTAATTTCCCGTCGAGTACGCTGTGGTTCTTCATTATGCCGATTGAGAAACCTCCGCATCTGAATACGGTCACCTTCAATGGAAATCGGAAGTCAAGGTCTATACATACGCATCCATCCCGATGAGAGGAGGATGAACTGACCTGAACGGTAATGATGGGGGTCTCATGGAGGCCATTAAATCCATCGGTTCTAAGGATGAGATGCTGGAACGAAGGGTTGGGTGCAGAGAGGCTGCCGAGCTCCTCTAGCCTACGTCTCGATGTTGCACCAACGAACAAGGCCCCGGCATTGTTGCAGAGTAGCTCCAGCCTCTTGGTTTCCAGGTTGAAGTTGAGTCTCCCGGCCATGAAGTAGTAGGGGATCAAGAGGACATCAGACACTGAGCTCTTCACCCTTTCGACGACATCGGACGTGACTGCTGCTGCATCGTCAGGTGGCATCTCGTAGAAGAAGATGGTCTCTACAGGAAAAGCTGCGGTCTGGTCGATGTCGGATAGGTAGATTGTCTTCATAGGTGTTGGATTTCTCGGAGAAACCAGGACGGATGCTTCTCCTTTCTCGACATCCTCGTCCGTCAAAGGAGTGGCAATCTGCATGGGTAGAGAAGCCATTGATCGAGGCAGAGTACGGGGAGACCTTTAATGCTTTTAACAGAGGAAGTGAGACGAGAAAATATAGCCCTTGAAATCAACAAGAAAAGCATGATGGCTTCAGTGCAATCTCCTCGTTGGCCGAGTAGCATTAACAATCGTCACATTGGCTACCCATTCATGGTTTATGCATCCTCAGATGCCGGCATGAAAACGAAGTCAGCAAAGAGCATGCGCCTATGTGGTTGGAGGAGAGAGAGAGAGAGAGAGAGATCCAAGAACTTGATGGATGCATGATCGCATGTTTTGTGGCATAAAAAATGTTGAATATGTGAGAGAGCAATAGGAAGAAGAAGATGGTGGGAAGGTGTATAGTTGAGGACTTGTATCTGAACTCCTAAGCAGAGCTCGAGAGTTGTTTGCTCGGTTGCAAACCTGAAAGATATCAGAGCATCAGCCTAAATCTGCTTTGTACATTTGATGACAGTATGAGAACAATGATTCACCAAATTTCTTGGAGAATTTTGAGCATCCCTTGAGATTCAAGTTCATAGTGGCTTGGCTGCAGAAGAACAGACGGGGGCTGATCATTCATTGTGGAGTTGTACATGGATCTGAAGTCAGGGTCAAAGCTGTGGTACTGCAGTCCAAAGGAGCAGTGATGCTCCTACCAAACCTGGAGACCCTTTGTCATGAATGCCATTGAATGAGCTTGCCATCTATGTTGGCTCCTGCTGTTTAGGTTTGCAGTACCTAAAGAGAGCCAAAGGGCAGTGAAACTTATGAATCAGGCCTTACCTTTGCAGCTTCTATTCCTGGAGACTCTAATGCGTGCATTGATCCTCCCCCAAACTCTGCATTGCAGTGCACAAACCTTTGTCCATGAGATCTAACAGGCATTCATTTCAGGAGGGTGGCTCTAAGTTAAATTCATGTGATTGATTTAGTTAGTGCTGTGGCCTTGCAGACTCTCAATCACAGAAGATGGAAGAGTGTAGTTATGACACTACACAGTGCTGACTTCATGGAGGCAACCATGTCTTCTGGAGGTCATCAATTCAAACAACAATGGTGATTTATAGGCTTTATGGTCAATCCAAGGTGACCGGACTTGGATGAGAATGTAATGCTTGCCTTTCTATGCAACTTGAACCACAAATAATTGCTAGACTCAGTGAGTCGAGTGCTTTCAGCCATGGTAGGAGCTCAGAAGAAGCATGGATCTGTCAGAGAGTTCTCCATCTTCTTGCAGAGCCAGCTAGCTCTAGAGCTTCCTGTCCATTCCTCACAATTAATCTGTGTTCTTGGTAGATGGATCTCTAGTTTATATCTCCTTCACTATTTCAAATCACAAACACCATATTATGACCTGTACTGATCATGATCTAAGCTATTGAGACTCATGTTCAGCCATAATGCCTAAACAGTAATCGAGGGTTGTCTTCTTCACCAGCTGATTGAAATGCAACAATCCATAATGCCTAAACATTAATATAATTAACACTAAAGCTTGGTAAACTCATGATTATGACAGTGTGGAAAATGAAGAGAAAATCTCAGAAAGTGATACAAGAAAATAGTTATGACATGCTACCACCAAAACTCAACTTGTAAGATGAGCATTTGGCATGATGATGCAAGAGGATTTCAGTGGTCATTCAAGCTGGAGAGAGTTCTTCTTTGCCAAGTGATGCTTGTTGTTGTGCATCCACACCTTGAGGACCCTCCTCTTCACCCCAATCTCCTGGCAGAACTGCTGGACCACACTCTCCTCCTGCTTCTGCAGCCTCCACCCCACCTTCTCAGCAAAGCTCAGCATCTTCTCCTTCTGCTCTGGGGTGAACTTGGTCCTGAACCTCTTCTTCACCACGACAGGCCTTGCCATCATCGCACCCACCCCTTCCATCTCATCAGACTCAGAGGTCTGCATGACACCCAGAGGCATGATCATGTTGTGAGGTGTGGCCCTTGGAATGAGGCTATTGCATGCAGGGCTGTAACCAAATGCATCTGATCCTGAGATGAGGAGGCCCTTGTGGCCCATCACCTTCCTCCCCCTGAGGGGGTAGAACCAGTCGCAGCAGGGCTCTCCTTCTGTCTCTTTCCTGTGGAAGTTCCTGTGGCAGCTGCAGGCAGAGCACTTCAAGGCCTCCAGAGTTCCCTCCTCGCCACTGGGCATGAATTCACCGCACCCATCAGTGGCATTCCCACCGATGGAAGCTGCATGGTTCTTGAGGCACTCCCTGTACCTTACTACCACCCCTTTCTTGGTGCTGTAGGAGTTGGTGGTGTTGTGGTGGTGGTCCTCTGTGGTGGCAGTGGATAGGGGAGGAGGAGGAGGGCCATTGGAGGGGTGGTGGATGGGAGGGCTGTCATGGATGCTGCCATGGCCATGACCACCAACATATACACTGGTTATTGGGATTGGGATCTCTCCTTCTTGACCAGAAAGATCCATTCTCTTAAACTTTGTGCTCTCTATTTTTGAGGTCCTTTTTTTGACCTCAACACCAGAAGGAAAAGGTCAGTGACAAGAAAAAAAGAAGAATAAGAAAGGACAAGTAAAATTAAAACTAGACACTCAAGGATCCATATACTTTGAGCTAAGGCTTTTGGTCTGAAATGCTTGGGAGTCTAAATGATGAACCCACTTACCCTTTGGCAGAAAACTGAGAAGCTCTGAGTTCTAGAGAACCTTATCCAGGTAAACCTCACACACACTCTCTCTCTCTCTCTCTCTCTCTCTCTCTTGTTCCAACCTTGAAGACCCAAGAGTGAAGAATGGGATCCTAAAATTGGAAGAGATGCTTGGCTCTATCTCCAGAGTCAATATGTGACTAGAAAACAGCAAAAAGAACTAGATGAAGGTGAGATTAACAGATTGATTTGGACAATAATTCATAAGAGGAAGAACAAGATAGATGATGATGGAATTGCAAAAAAGACCATGTAGTCATTGTAATCTGAAGACCAATGCTGACCTTTCTTTCTAACAAATTTAAAATCCTGAAGCATGAAAGATGATACCCAAGTAATCTCTTGTTGGTTGTGGGAGACTAGACTTTCCCACCCATGAGGAAAACAACAAGAATCACAACAGTGCCTAGAGATTTCCTACTAGCATTCAGATGACCACCACTTCATTGTCTCATAAGTACAACCGAAGAAAACAAACAGGTAGAGATGCTCCATGATGGTTGGAGCCATGCAGCAATGCAGAATGCTTGAGAACCTAGGACAGAACAAAACCCACCTTCCTCTCTCTAGGCTGCAGGGGTAAAGCAGAAGTGATCCTTTCTTTTCAAGGCTTGGAAGTAAGGAAGGGAGTAGGCATGGAGTTTATTCCAGAAAACTCTTGTTGGTTTACTCCATAAGAAGATTCAGCATATCCTCCATTGTGGTTTCCATGGCAAGAAGAGGGCATTAGGAGGAGCTTAGGTGGAAGAAGAAGAAGAAGAGAAATAAAGCAAATAGGAGAGCAAAGGAAAAGAAGTGAGAGAGAAAGGAATTGATGTGATTTGGCTGAAGGGTTGTGGTTGTGAGAAGCTAAATAAGGGACTAGCAAAAGTATTGAGGGATCACAAAGCTTGGAACAATATAGAAAGAGAAGCAGAAATTTTCAGGACACTGGAAAACTGAGAAAGTTTTAGGGGGTGGTGACCAAACAATAATAAGGTGTGGGGTGTTTGCTTTGTTTGCACTATCAGGTATCAAGCTTACCACATAGATGGAAACAGAGAAATTGAGGACTGCAGTGTCAGAGGAGGGGGGAGAGAGAGAAAGAGAGAGAGGGGGAGGAACAGAAGGAGTCCCCACATTATGAACTTGAGGAACATAAAGAAAGCTAGCTACCAAAATGTCCTTAGTGAAAAATAAGATGACAGAAGCATGTAGTAAGCTTTATGGCCAAAATGCCTACATGGTGGAGCTAACAGTCCATTCCTCATCAGAGGAGATGTTCATCCACCATGTAGGCATGGTTATTAGCTGAGGGTTAAATGATGGTTATTAATATCAAAGTTGAATGTCTGATTTCCTTGGGATATGATCATTTAACCACCCATGGTTATTATTATGATGAAGATGATCATATCCCAAGGAATTCAGACATCCAACTTTGATATTTAGCTGAGGGTTAAATGATCACAGTTTACTCAGCTCACCATTTTTCTCATGTTTTAGATAATTTAAGGCACCATTAGACATTAAACTTATGCTGTCAGGACAAAATTATATAATTAATCTGCCCTGTTTACATGATAAAGACTTCTGAAAATGTCCCAATATATATTAAACTCACTAACAGATGGATAGTGGCTTCAAATATGACACAGGAGAGACAAACTTAGTTTCTAAGGAGTTCTCTTCTTTTGATCACTATATTGTAATCAGCATGGAGATAATTGATCCAATTCATCTCTTTGTTCAAACATCCTATGACTAGTTGCACTATTTTGGTGGATTACTAGATTTAGGCTTAAACTGGTTGCTGGGTCCTGCCTTTTCTTTTTGATCATTCCCTGTAAGCATGGAGTTCTTTCCAAAGAAATCATTCCTTGTCAGAATTAAGGTCTCCACTAAAACACTTAATATGAATCTTTTGCTATCCTCTTTACCTTCTCAATTTTTCTCAGGACAAAAGGGAAAACAGAAGGTACATAACATGGTCCCTGAGACTCTATATTCTTTAGCTTTTCCATGACCAAATATCTCCCAGATGCTGAGCAATATTCTCCATCACAAGGCACTTTTTTATCTATGAACATGTGTGAGAAAGTGGTCATGACAACTTTGGAGGTGGAATTTTATCAGCACAATCTGCTTGACTAATCCTCATTGACAAGTTACTCTTAAGATGCTTTTCTTGAATGCTCTTTTGCTACCCTAAGATTCTGTTTCTCTCATTTGTTCTTATGGTTCCTTTTATCAGCTTATGGAACCTGAATTTTTCGAATCATTAGAATTGAGTAGATTTAGGCACTATTGACTGCAGATTTGCTCTGAAATGCACAAACAACCCTCATCTACAACTCATCAGAATTTCTTTGAGAAATGCAATCACTGTTTTGCTCAACTTCTTTTAGATATTCCTTTCAATTTTGCTGGTAGTTTTACTGTAATGAGTTGTAGACAAATCCACACATCCATTGATTAAGCTTTGAATTGTGAGGATAATTATGTCTACTTGAAGAAAAGAATAAACTCTACCTTTTGAGGTTATCTTATTATTACAGACAATTTCTGATGCTTGTGATGTTTTTGTTTGCAAAAATCTTCCTACCAAAGTAAAATATTACTCTAGGATTAATTATAATGACAAAAAAAAAATGCAAATATCTCATTCATCTGATCAGGGTACACTGTATCAAGCAAAATGGTACTGTCCATTCAATAAATCACAATCTCTGCTGGCTTTACATATTAAATGCCATCAATAAAGATGATGTGCTCTTGTGTTTCACACAGAGAGAGAGAGAGAGAGAGAGAGAGAGAGAGAGAGAAAGGTTGTGGTGACAAATTAATTGGGGTTCCTGGAAGAGGGAGAAAAGTGGTGGTTGTGCCAGCAAATTTAATTAAATAGGTTCCTGATGTCACAGTGATCACACAGGCCATAGGCTCCCAAAATCCAAACCTTGATTCCTGAGCCAAATGTATCTCATCCCAAACAAGCTGACAGAGGCCAGAAACAGTGCCCTCTGTATCTTCTTCTTGTTTGGAAGCTGGAAATCTTATCCCCCTAACCCTCCTTCTCCCTCCACACATTCCAATGCACACAGATAACTCCTCTCAGCCACCCAAAGGCAACAAAAACTTCCATTACCACTTAATCTCACAGCACACTGTTCATCATATTACTTTTGGTTACAAGAAGTTGATTTGCTCTGCTGAACACAACCTAAAAAGTGGTCTAATACTTGAGCTTCAAATTTGAGAATGAGACAGATTTGGAATCATGTTGAGGATCACACTCCAAAAGATTATCTTTGCCAGCAGCAGATTTTTGGCACATTGGCACATGAAATCAGGACCATTTCTGATGTCTTTATTTTGATGTGCCTAATAATTGCTCCACATGGTCCTGGTGTCTGATGTATCACATATAGGTGATCTTAACTTGATTTGCCCATCTTTGGCATTAGGTGCACAAAACTATTGGTCCTGAAATGAAGAAATAAACCCAGAGTAATTATATCAGGATCTTTCTTTTTCTGTATGTCTCCACTTGATTTGATTGTAAATAGCAGACATTAGGATGTTGAACATTAGATGCTAAATGATCACAAACCAATGGGACCTATGGACATTATTATTATTATTATTATTATTATTATTATTATTATTATTATTATTTATAATATATGGTGCATGGTGGATTCTATGGGCTCATATTATGTTCTTCTTTCTAGTGAGAGCACTATCTCTGGTCACTGAGTTGTGCCACCAACATGAGAGTCTCCTCCCTCTGCCATACCATGATTTTACCCCCAAGAGCTCCACCTTCACCCCCTTTTTATCCTTTGGAATGAATAAAAGAGAAATGTTCAGTTCTCTTGGATTACAAATATCTTTTTTGATTCAATAATTATATTTCTATATCAAAATTCACATCCATTTATTTATCATAAAACCTCACTTTATTAGATCTTACTTTGGATTTCTGAATGAATGAACAAAAAATGTGAAAGGAATAAACAAACCCTGATTTTAGTCAATTTATTTTCAGCAGTCATCTCACTTAATTGCCTTTGTCCACATTATCCTTTTTATGTAGCAAGATTTATGCTGATCGAACAAGTATAGGTGAAGATCGATTTCGGGACGAGATAAATCAGTATTAACTAAAATATATTTTTTGTTTTTATAATGCCAAAGAAATCAAGAAATGTAGTACAACAACTTATAAAACAACAAACTTATTTCATATAAGATACTTGTATTTGGTTTCTACCATGAGAAAGCAAGTGGAAATCATGACTAATAATAAAAAGGACTAGTAGAAATCAAAAAAACCAAGACAGATCATCCACACCAAACAATCCTCATCAAAGTCCATCACAGAATCAATTGCAAAATGTCAGAGATCAGTGGGTCTTCCCACAAGTCTCTTTCACCTGAGTGGCACAAAGTGATGTTCTAAAATAAGCAATCTTCTTTTACAAGTTGGCCACACTTCATGAGACAAACAAGAGGATGGCAAATGAATAGGTTGGTCTTCCTTTTGATCTCTAATTCATGTGCATGTCTTGTCTCACTGCTTCACTTCACCTCTTAGAATAAGAAGAAGAACAATAGAAAAGAACAAAAAGAGGACACCAAACATAGTGACAAGTCTAAAACATTAGACTATAGCATTAATCACACAAATCTAATTGTGTTTGCATATTTAACTTTAATAATGGTTATATACTTTAGTGGCTTGGATACATTTAGTTGCATAAAAGCTAGATGCAACATGTGCAAGTGCAACTATCCAAGTGGACAATTATGTTACCAAACATCAAAGCTGAATATAAAATGTATAACATTATAATATATATATATATATGTTTATATATAGTTGTTATTAAATGATAGAGATGCATGCAATCAAAATATGGACTCAAACCCATACATATTTATGGTTCTCTATAATTGTATGTTCAGGAGCAGTTGGGAGCAAACAAAGAATTGATTATGTACCCTCTAATGAAATGAATGTAAGGAGGAGATATGAGAAAATGGAAACCAGTAGAGGTGATATTTTTTGTCATGTATATATGTATGAGGATGAAGCTACATTAAGGTGAGGATAGGCAAGTGATCCTAAAGAAGTTGGAAGTTTAGTTTGCTGAATATATTTGAATTTGTGGATAGATTGTGTAGAATTATTGTCTACAATGTTTCCATAATGAATCCTTATGAAAGCTGTGCCCAAGCATTTGACTCGAGTTGTTCTCCTAATAGAATATTATTTCCTTTCTTATTCTTATAATAAGAAGCAAATTATTCTTATTCCAAAATGCTCAGAAACAATGTAAAGAAATGTGTTAATGCACCTTTAAAAGAAAAGAATACAAAACACATGCAGACAAGGCTGAAGAAAGGTCAAGAAGTGCAAGCATCTCTCTCTCTCTCTCTCTCTCTCTCTGAAGAAAGGTCAAGAAGTGCATGCATCTCTCTCTCTCTCTC